GCAGAGGCAGATTTTTTTTTTTCTTGTGCTAATCAGGCTGTTTGCTGTTAGCTGCAGGGAGGTAAGTCAACAACTATAAATGCCTACAGAATGTTCAAATTATTAGACTTATTTTTTAAAGGCTGCTTTATTATTGTTCTAGACAACTTAAAAAAATGAAGAATCTTTTTAAAATAAATGCTTGATCTGAAGAGTGCTACTGTATCTTCTTTTAAATAGCAGAGAATAACTATACTTCCAGAAAACCACATCAATTTTAACAGCATCTGTACAAGTATCGTCTGAAATGTAAGACCATAAACAGTGTATATCATCTGTACTGTTTGCTGTTTGTTGCAAGGAGGCAGAGGAAGATTTTTTCCCCTTGTTTTCCTCCCCGAAAACTAGGTGTGTCTTATACGTCTGAGTCTTATACTCCGAAAAATACAGTAAGTCATTTTTTTCCCCAATGCCACTGTAACTTTAAACGGTCACAAAACAAAAAGGTTGTAAGTCGAGGACTACCTATAACAAAAGTTACTGTGCTTCTGGCGCTGCAAATCAAGCTCCAATGTGGTTTGTTTATTTACTGGGCTTCTATGTTGCTACAAACTCTGAATGGTTTATGGGATGACAAGAACATGCTGCAAACATGTGCAGGGATACAAGTTGGGATAATTGCCAGGCTGACTGAAGTTACAATTTGGCAGACATTGAAAGGACCCAAGATGGTAGGAATCAAAGGCACAGACACAGAGTTTTTCAACACTGGCCATTTTGAAAGTATGTAGACTTCAACTCCCAGAATTCTCCAGCCATCATCTTAAAGATGCCACGGTTGAGAAACACTGGGATAGGGCGGCAAAAGACCCATAAGGCCTTGAGACACAGAGAAGGAGCGATCTGAAATACTGCATTTGGTCAACTGTTCGCTGTCCTAAGCGCACAGAAGTCAGAGAAATGGAATGTAAATACCTAAGAAATTTCTGTTTTTAATGGGTGGGGGAGAAGGGTCCGTAGGAGAGTATCAGGGAGACAAATCAAGATTCAAGTTGGCTGAAAGGGAACCAGTGAAGCCTTTTGGGACAGGGGCCTCCAAACTTGGCAACTTTAAGACCTGTGGACTTCAACTCCCAGAATTAACTTTGGCAAGATTGGAGACCCCTGATGTGGGAGATGGAGTATTCATGTTAAGAGTTACCCATATGGCTCTAGAAAAAGAAGAGAGGAAGGAAGGAAGGGAGGGAGGGAGGGAGGGAGAGAGAGCTCATGAAAAAGGAAGGAAGAAAGGGTGATGGGAGTAAAAGAGGAAGCCAAAGGAGGATGGGATTTCTGTGTTCAGAAACCTCAGCTTATTGCCGCTTCTGCTATTGCTACATGTGCCTGTTTTTGGTTACGTTTCCTGAGTCTGGGCTTCAAGAAGGGGAATGATGCCCCACAAACTCTCTCCCCATCATTCTGAAACTGGAGATGAAGACCAAGGAGCAATTGGTTTAAAGTCACTTCCCTGAGCCTTCAAATCTTCCATCTGTGAGCTTGGAAAAGCGAAGAGCACTGCTGTTTCCAGAATGCTGACTCCTGCCTCACTTAAGACAGAGCTGTTGGGTGATGCAATGATGGGCTGCTATTTTCCTGTTAGCAGAAAGGGCATACAGGCCAAGATATTCCCTACGCACGCACACACACACACACGCACACAGACACAACTTCCTTACCTTGGATGCTTTGTTTTTGCGGTCACAGACATAACAGAACTTGCAACGGCGACAACACCAGCTGTCCTCCTGCTCGGGCAGGGGCTGTTCATCCTCCTCCAGGCAGAAGACATGGAAAGGATCACAGCATACCTGGCAGTACACAAGCTGAAGAAGAGGCAGCAGCCGTGTTAGCCATTCTACCTCCATGAAAACAGGCAACGGGAATCCCTTTTTAAATCCCCAAATCCCACCCAATTCTGAGGGCAAAAGGACCCCGCTATGCAACTCCACTTTACCGATTCCAAATGGGAAGTAAAACCCCTTCCTCACATTCCTGCCTAGGGGAACTCATGCCCCCAGCTTTTCCGTTACTTCTCAGCTCCTTTTCCTCGGACCCACCTGATGGAAACCTTTGCTTGCACAGAGCAGGCACACCACCTGTGTGGTGACTGGCACTGAAGTGAGGATGCTGAGACCGCCCATCAGCCAGACGTTCTCCAAGTCACAGTCTTCCTGTAGGGCACACAAGCGGGGAAAACGGTTTACTCTAAAAGGTACAGAGCCACACGCACTAAATCAGTGAACTGAAAGGGAAGGTACAAATCTTACAAAATTTACAAAGGTAACTTTGTACTAGGTAAGTTATACCTTGCTTCTTCTGATGACAGAGAGGGGAGGGAGAGAGGGAGGGAGACAGACAGATGGACAGATGGAAGAAGAAGAAGAAGAGAGAGAGAGACAAATTAAGAAAGGAAGGAGGGAGGGAGGAAGAGAGATGTGGGGAGGAGGGAAGAAACCAATCAGTACTGCAGTTTTGGAATGACACAAGAAAAATCCTCCTGTGCACTTAAGACTAATAAAAACCTAGATTTAGATATCAGAATCTATTCAAAAAATTAAAACTAAAATGAACTTCTTATACAGAGTCATAAAAACAAATAAGAACCATCCCATATCCTTTAATGTTGGACAAACACGCTTACAAAACTGGGCCCTGGTATATAGATCAGCAGCTAAACCTTGTACCTGCTGAAACTGCAGAACAATCTCTGAGGGTAGTCCTGCGTGTATCATGCTGCAGTAGCCTAGACCAAATTTGTTCAGGCCTGGTTCAATAACATCTATAGAGCCACTTGGGTTTAATAGGCATAAAGCTGTAAATAAGAGATTTAGGAACAGGTGCCCACTGAGGTTTTTTCCCACCAGGGAATGCGCTCTGGAGTCCAGCCATTGCCAACATGACTTTGCTGCTGATGGCGTCTTTTCAATTGGGTGTCTGAGAGACAGAGGTTCCTGCCTCACCTTGAAATCAACCCTGAGACGGTGGACTCCATCCGTGGATTTCTGTTTCCCATTCCAGCCATTGGAGATGGAGGGGAGTGAGGCAGAAGGAGGGATGTCCTGCGAAGGACAGAGAAAGGGAGGAAAGATAACGGCAGATTAACAGAATATTCCCAGATGTTTACTGCGGTTGCCTGTGGGATACACAATGCTGGTTATCAGAATATGACGAGGGAAGAAATAAACAGATATGGCGGAAGGTAAGGAAGGATAAAGAAAAAAAAATTGGCATATTTTGCCATAAGGGAAATGAATCTTGGTGGGGGAGAAAAATGACTTGCCACTTGGCTCATATCCCACTTAAAGAACACAACACACGGTGGATTCCTTGAAGTCCCTGTTGTGCACTGCACACCTTCCTGAGTTACGATACAAACAACAATAAAACCTTGCCCAGGTGTGCATCTTTGCCTCTCTCACCTTTTCTTGAGGGCTCACCTTCTCTGGTTTCTTCCTGGCTTTCAACTGCACCACAGGCTGCAAAGAACTTTTACGGGGCCGACTTTGCTCCTCAGAGTCCACGGGAAGCAAATCTGGAAACATACGAGCACCTTAGAGCATATTTTCTTTGCATCAGACTCAAACAGGAGGAGATGCTACTGCACTCTTCACCTTGAAAGCACAAAGCTTGGCAAATCCACTAACTTTTACCTCAGAGAAGCTACGAGTCAACAATAAATCTGAATCTACTGGATTATCTTATCATTGAGCACCAAAGATTTCTGGCTTGCTGCAACATCACATCACACCAAAACGAGACCACCTCTCAGGCCCCGTGTGTATTTTTTGGGGTCATCCCATCAAGAGGTTCCTCTTAAGAAAATTGTGACCATGATGGGCGCACCAATAGCCCTACATGCACCCCTCGGACGTTGCAACTAGCCACAGCTTCATGATATATGCGACAGGTTACCATTTCATGCAATTGGCATAGAATGGCTACCGACAGGCACAGTAGCTGGCCAATCTCCGTGTGGGAAGTCATGGACCAAACGACCCAAAAGCTCACAGCTCACCTGAGTCCCGGGAAGATTTCCGGCGATGAGTGGCTGAGCCAGAGGCCGGCTCTGTGTCTGAGTCAGAGGATTCAAAGATGTCATATGAGGGCCTCTGCTTCACGCAGCGCCGGGCGGACTTACGCTGCAACAGAGAGTCTTGCTCAGCAGTCTCTGTGGCCCCCAGCATGACTTCCCAGGGGGCTGGAAACTCCTCTTGAGAATCCTCTGAATCCCAGGGGGCGATGGGCTTCACTACTGTACGGCCTGAAGACAAAGGCATGGGTGAGCGGAGCCCGGCAATCCGACTCTAGCAGCAGAGGGACGTTGGGCAGAAGGACCATTTCCTCCCCTTTCCTCCAGCCCCCATTGCCCTCTCCCCAAGCCTTGTTAGAAGGGCACCATGAGGGGTGGGGAGGTGGGAGAGGAAAAATGAATGCAAACCCTTGGAGCTTATGAGGCTTATGTTAACTTATTGCAGTTGAGTGCCATCCCAACACGCTCTGAACGTCTGACCAGACCAACATCCAAACCTTCTCCTCCTCAAGTTAAGAGCCCTGGGTTCTACCAGCATCAACTTTCAGCTCAACTCACTGCTGCCCAGCGCTGGAGGACTGACAAGGAACAGATCTTGAGTTTGCCAAAAGAATATTTCTGTCTCTCTTTGCTGAAACCTGAGGGCATTGGTGTTTTAGCAGCCCAGGTTTAAAACTGGTGAAAGGTGGCAACTCTTGCCTGCCTTGTGGAAGAGTCCTCAACACCAGTCCACTTTGCGCCCGCTGTGGCTTGGCTTAGCCACTGACCCATCTAAGGGTCTCCTCCCCAAGTCTGCGTGAGCTCACTTACCTTAGCTACAGCTCATCTTCCATCTATGGTGGCAATGCTTTCATCTCCCCCTCCCTCCTGTCAGCAATCCAGGTTTACAATCACTACCCATCCCTGATGGAAATGCTGTTTAAGCCCCCCCCCCTTTTTTTTTCTTCCTATCTAAAAGGCTGGTAAATGGTTCTCCTCCTCATTTTCTCATTTCCAATACAAAAGAGATTTAAGCATTCTACAGCTAGGAGCAGAGATAAAGGGGGGGGGGAATAGATGGGATTTCAGAGGCCATTACTACCTAGGTTATTGTTCCTATCACACTTGGCTCAAGACTCTCAGCTCCTATAGATCCAACTTCAGTCAGGCACTATGGATTTACTCAAGAGGTTAAAAAAATGGCTCTGAATTGTAATTCTCTTTTGCTACAGCAAGCCCAAGGAGCAATTTTCTTCCTTTCTTAGCAGTTATTGTCTACTTTCTCATATGCAGATGAAGCAAAATGAAGGCTCTGATCCCAACCCCTCCCCCCTCCCTTGCAGGTACCATTAAGAAGGGGTTTTTTGGGAGGGGGGTTGCTTCTCCCATTGTTAATTAATTGATCCAGGAGTACAAATGAATTAGAAATTCAAAGGAAGGGAGGGGGAGGTTGGAGAGTCAAAGCTTCCTGCCTCTGCTCCCTTTGTGGCAATCGAAAAAGGAGGAAGAAGCAAGTGAGGAGCTAAGGGAGGAAAGAGATTCAGCAGAGAGATTTCCCCCAAAATGAAGCTGCACTTTCTATAGCATTTCTCCCAAGCCACCCTCAGAACTGACCTGAAGAAGGGAAGATGGGCTCCAATTCTCCCCCCCTTTCACCCCCCCAGAGCAGAACAAGCAAAAGGTCTTCTCCCTCCCCCCAACTCCTTGTGCCCCCTCCCCACCTTCAGCCCCCTTTCCCAGAGTTATCTGCTCACATAAGCAAGGCTTCTTCAATCTGAACAGCAAGGGAGGGCATTCTCATAGGCATGCAGGCCCTCCTCTGGTCAGGCCCCCTCAGGTCACAATGGTCTCCCCAGCCCAGCCCCTTCCTAGTACCTGCCCATTTCCTCCCCATAATCCCAAAAAAAGACAGGGCCTCCAACCCCTCCCAAGGTCGCAGCATTATCTATGGTATCATGGCTCCACCCATCCCGGTTCTTTAGCAAAACTACAGCATTCCCTCCACCTAACAAGGGCCTTTTCCACTTGGGGGGGGGGGGGGCGGCTCCAGAGGTCTTAAGGTTGCAATTCCCAGAATTCCCCAGCCGCTCTCTGGAAAGATGCCAAATTGCGGGAGGCTAAAGTCTACTTTTCAAGGCCGGTTTCTTCCAGAGCACCGGAAAAGTGTGGGAGGGGAGCAGAGAGAATGAGGCAAATTGCTTGCCCGAGACTCCTTCCAAAGAGCATTTAAAGCGATACTTACAGGTGGTCAAAGTTTAAGCTAGGATTCTCAGCCTGGTTGGGTGGACTTCAGCTACCAGGGTTCTGAGACTTCTGGGAGTTGAAGTCCACAAACCTTCGAGGTCTAAACTTAAGCACCAGGGAGAAACAACAGAGGGGGAGAAGGAAGGCATGGGTTTATAAACAAGCAGCAAGCAAGGGTCATTTCAGCTAGGCTGGGTTAGCTGGCATTAATTAGGGATAAGCAGGAGGACTAGGAATCTGCTCGTTGAACAGCCAAGGTTTCCTACTTATATTGTTCCAAGAACTCCATCACAAAAACTTGGTTGCTTCTAATCTTCCGGATGTTTTATGGTGAGAGCAGAGAGTGATGTGAGCTTCGTTTGAGAGCCGTCCCAAATTCCTGGGCTGTACCTAAGCTCAGAGGCAACCTATGTCTCAACAACCTGCTTATTCAAGCCAGTTAGCAGTTTCACTGACCCAGTAAGCAAACTTTATTTAGTTTTTCCCATTGGGTAGTTTTTATGGTGCTTGTTGGTGCTGCTGCTGGTTAGCATTTGGTGCAAACCTAGCTCCATTTCTCCTTAGCTTAGGCTTCAACGCATTGTATGAGCCAAGGAAATGGGTTAAATTTGGCATGAAGGTCAAAAATGTTCCATAAACTCGGACTTCGCGCATGTTCATAGAACTGAGCCACTCCCATGCGCTTCGGTCTAGTGATCAATGTAAGAACCTCTTGCAGGTCCCAAGCCTGTTCAACTGTGGTGAAAGCCAGGAACAGGACATCTGAGGAGGCCACAGGTTAGGGATAACAGGAAGTGGGGATATCAGGACTAAGGGACCAATTCTGCCCACAGATTGGTGTGACTTTTTTTTCTCTCTTTCACATCCGGCCCAAATCAAGGAACTTGGGTTTAAAGCTCTTATATTTAGCTCTTACATTTATACTGCCTATTCTAGGCTATGACTCAGGATGGTCTTACTTTCAAGGTGACTTTAGGGACGTTTTCCCTGCCGCGAGCCTCAGCAACCCCAACACCCATGTGCAGGACAGAGAGCATCACATATCCCATTTCCCAAGGCCATTTATAAGGATTAGTAGAGCGTAAGGCACCTTAAGAGCAATTAGAACACTGGAAAGCAGGATATAAAGGTTAGACAGCATTTTAATAGTCACTTTTAAGAGGGCAAATGTTTCCATATTGACAGGATCCTACAAACACTCAACTCTGAAGGACAAGAAGGGGTCAACACACGGCTAATGTCAGCGGTAGAAAACCTGCACCGTTTGGCAATACCATAGAAGTGATTAAATCCTCACCAACAATGCAAACTTAAAATTGTAGATCAGATCAGATTCCACATTCCCATTGGAAGGGCATTTGGAAGAATAGCCTGGGGGTTTGCCAAATATTTTTGTTTTTGGAATCTCTCTCTTGAGACCAGATGAGTATCATCTTTCTTTGGTTGGGGACACAGGTGACTGAGGAAATGGTGCTAAGAGGGAAAAATCTGAGGCCAAAGGGCCTTTCTTTTAAAACAGCTTTGGGGCAGGAGACAATGATCTAAACAGGGTATCTCTTTAAATTACATCCCCTTTAATGGCTATATTTCCTTGAGACCAAATTATGTATCCCCAGAAAGAAACAGTTGTTGAGCTTATGTCCCCAGGATCGAGGGCGTGGCCTGGAGGTTGTGTGATGGAGCCATCTTCCTTAAGCTAAGTGGGAATAACCCTCGTTAGCATTTGGAAGACAGACCAAATGGGAAACCTTGGTGCACCAAATCTCAGGTTTCATGGAATTAGTGAAAGATAGCCTGCCCAAGATTGTCAACTAGATGGAAAAGCATTTCAAATTGCAACAAGTACCAATCGTTCATGATTCAGGGATAGGTGTATTTGTCATAGCATGAAACAAGGGGAGTGAGAGGAACAGGACATTCTAGGGGGGAAACAAGCACAATTCAGTGTAATGGCTACAGACAATACACATTAAGAAGAAACAGGAATATGTTAAACCAGATCACTGGGCCAGTTAGCATACACATAAAAGGGGGCAAGTGCTCAGTGATAGAGCTCACGCTTTGTAGAAAGTCCCTAATTTAACAAAATTTAAAGACATGATGGTCAAAAAGTCTGACCTGATATGAAACAGCTTCCTTGGTTAAAAGATCAACTGGGATTGTGGAGGTAGAGCAGATCTTCGGAATTTATTTTATTTTAACATAAAGCTTGTGCGATCAAGCACATTTTTTTTCCAGGAAGCAATTCTAAGAATAGGAGATTCTCAGTCACCCAAAGGTGCTTTTTCAAGGGGAAACTGGACTTCCTTTGTTTTTCCTTGAAGGCGTTTCGCTTCTCATCCCAGAAGCTTCTTCAGTTCTCATTCAGAATGGTCAGTCACATTTCAGTCAGAACTGAAGCAGCTTCTGGGATGAGGAGCGAAACGCCTTCAAGGAAAAACAAAGGAAGTCCAGTTGCCTCTTGAAAAAACACCTTTGAGCCAAGAACAGGTCAGCGCTCTGGCCTCGGCTCTTTGGATCTGGAGAGGCTACAAAACTAAACTGACTGCAATGTTCATCGAGGAATAAAAAAAGGAAAATCAAAGGCCGAGTCCCAATAGTAATGAGTTTGTTGCTAAAGTGTTGAGGCCGAACTGCACCAAGAAGTATAGGAGCCCAATATTAAATCGTCCTAAATCAATAGGGCCTCTGCCCCACCCCCCACATACACACCTCAACATTCTTGAAGCAAACTGCATTAAAAATGTATTTATTAAATGATTCTCTGAAAACTACCCTTCGTGAAGCAGACTTTGCTCCAAGAAACATGAGCAGGCCGGGGGGGAGTGTGAGCAGACATCGTTCAATAGCGGCACAGCAGTATCCTGGGGGGCGAGGGGGGGCGCAGATGATGAGTTTGGATCTTCCTGAGTGGGACATCTGATGTTCTGTATGTTTATCATCAAGCCACATAATGCATGGATTTCGTTTATGACACAGATTCTGTACACAGATCCTCACCTTCACTTGATGACCTTTGTATTGAATAACTGCCTGGGTCATCCAAGGTGACCAACTGGGCTGGCAGGAGAGGACATGACTTTTGAGTTCCTTCTCTGCCAACTTCGGTTGGGTCTCATACCGGCTTCCCCTCTCCTGTGACCAGCACAAAACACCTTGAAAGCCTTAGAGCAGGCTAGTCACTTTAGTGGGCTTGTTGATAATATTCTACAACAAGCATGTATTTTCAACAAACGTGTAGGGAACTGCAGCACAGAAACATACCATAAAGAGGAACAGCACCCCAAAAGGAAGGATTCTGTGGTCAAGGAAATGAGCTTTTCTTAAGGAGGTACCGTTTCTTTCCAGGAACACTACATGCTTCCCCCACCCCCACCCCGCTCGTCGGACCCTCCCTTTCTTCGTCTCATTGGCCTTAATGCTTCTTCCCCATCCCTGACGGTTTACATACCACATTTCAACTTCTTCACAAAATCGTGCCGTGTTACAATTTAATATGTTATATCTGCACAAGGTTGTAAAATAGAAACCCGCCAATATACAAAGTAAGAGTCATCAGCAATGGTCATTTCCATTGGTCAACCCGCCTTTCCACAAACATTTACGCCCCATTGCGATTTACAGGAAGGTAGATTAAAAACAAACAAAGCCGAATCGATGCAACAATGAAAGTGTATCAAAAACACACAATTGCAAAAAGCTACAATTAAAGACAGTAGAAACATTAGCTTTGGACTTATACAAAACTTTTCAAAGGCAAACTACTAGAACATTAAAAAGCCTGTCTAAACACAGGCACTTGGGATGTGAAGCATCAAACGTTATTATTCATTCCGGCATAACATAGAAATCAGGGCTCGCCATCCAAGTTTGGACATTCAGTGCAGAATCCCAGCCCTTTGGTATGGGCTGGACTTTAGCTAGTATGGTTATACAAAGGTATACAAATATTCAAAAAAGAAATGCCCCTGGCTAGAAGGTCGTATCATATCTAACAGGAAAACCAAAGACACACACAGAGAAGAGACCACACATCATCACGCAACCAACTCACAGGAGCACATTAGTCCAGCCATCTTCACCCACTCAACTGTTACCTTTCTTAGACAGCCGTTCCACTCGTCGTGCTTCAATCTTGTCGCATTTCCGATACCTGTCAGCCAGACATACATTGTCAGAGTAGAGGAAAAGAAAAACTACTTCCAACAGACTCTTCAGCTGAGGGATTCAGAAATAAGCCAGAAGAACTCAAGCTTGGGAGGGGACTTTTAGGAGAGCATAATAGCAATAGAAATAGCAATTGGACTTATATACCGCTTTACAGCCCTCTGTAAGCTGTTTACAGAGTCAGCCTACTCCCCACAACAATCTGGTTCCTCATCAGGGTTGGGTTGCTGGCGGCATAACTGCCGGTTTGGTGCATGGACGCCTGACATGCGCAGTTGCCTATAAATAGGTCTGCGCATGCGCAGAACATTAAAAATGTCCAAAAAACATGCTGCGGCGACCGGGAAACCAGTTTGGGGGCGTGGCGCGCCTACCGTTCCTACTGGTTCGGCGACCCAGTTGCAATTTCTACTACTGGTTCGCCCGAACCAGTGCAAACCGGTAGCAACCCATCTCTGCTCCTCATTTTACCCACCTCGGAAGGATGGGAGGCTGAGTCAACCCTTGGGCCTGGTGAGATTCGAACTGCCAAATTGCAGGCAGCCGGCAGTCAGCAGAAGTCGCCTGTAGTACTACACTCTAAGCACTGCGCCTCAAATGTTAAGAGGATTGCCACTGTGGACTGTTAAGTGGAAATACCCATCGATTAAATGTTGAATTCTCTAGTGTCACAGTAAGCCTTTTGTGGGGAACAGGATCGTTCCTGGAAATATGTCAGAGTCTGATATTTTGTTTGGCAGCAATGCCAACTTCCTGTAATTATTTTAAAAGATGTTTTCAAAAGGCAGGTGGAGTGAGTGGGTCTGGATGCCTCGTGATGCCTGAAACACCTTTTTTCTCACCTGAACTGAATTTACATTTGCCAGCCATTGAGACTTAAGTCATACAGACCAGAGGCTTTTTATAAGCCTTTTAAGACAAGACTGGACAACCAATTGCCTGGAATGATATAGGGAAGTGATGGCGAACCTTTTAGACCCCGAGTACCCAAACTGCGCATGCCCAAACTGAAAGGTATGTGTGCGTGCACAAATGTGTGCACATGCCGACATGCACTATCATGCACATGTGCATGGGCGGACATGCGTGCATGCGCAGCAGAGACCTGAAGACAAGCTGGCCATCAGGAGCTGGGGCATCCCAACACCGGCAGCGCAGCAAGAGGTAAGATCTTTTTCTTTCGTGAGCCTCTGTTTCGTCATTTGCAGGGAAGCAGAAAGTCACGAAAGAAATGCCACGGAGAGCTGACCTGGGACGAGAGTGTACGTGCCAACAGAGCGGGCTCTGAGTGCCACCTCTGGCACACGTGCCATAGGTTTGCCATCACAGATATAGGGTCCCCTGCAGGGAGTTGAACTAGAAGACCTCCAAGGTCCCTTCCAGCTCTGTTATTCTGTAAATGGCTGGACACGAGCATCAAGCAAGGCCAGCAGTAGAGTCCTGGGCCTTCCACGGGACAAGGTGGATCCATTGGAGAAATTAGCGTATTTTTCACAGTATAAGACGCACCAAGAGGCATATTTTAAAAAAAAGTTTTTGCACTCTGCAGACTTCCCCAAAATGGCCCATGTTTTGCAAAAATGGGCCCTTTAAAAAAAGGGGGGGCATGAAAATGGGCCCATTTTTTGTCAAAAAAAGGGCATGCATAGCCTTTAGGAGGCTTATAGAGTGCGTCTGGGGGCTGGGGTGGCAAAAACGAGCAAAAAGTGGCCCATTTTTCGCTCATTTTTGCCCTCTCCAGCCCCCAGGAGCACTCTGGAAGCCTCCTAAAAGCTATGCATGGCCATTTTGGTGAAGGGGGTGGGGTTTTGGGAGGCAAAAAATGCTGTATTCAGTGTATAAAACGCACCCAGATTTTC